TACCATTTCACATCTAATAAACGGGTCCTACGAGGATTGGCCGAACAACCAATGGTGATTTATCACTCTCCACAACCAACTCTCCGACTCATCAACTAGAGAACATGTGCCACTTTGCCGCTGCCGGCATCTATGTTGCTTCATAAAATTCATGCATTTTAGTCGCATTCAAGACACAAATCATACCATTCAATGTGTTGGCTCAAAGTACTTTGTACGTGATTGAACTGACTATCGGCGTATCGATCTCTCCTGATTATCTTCGAATGACAGAGATAAGAGAAGAAATAGGATCAGAAAAAATGTACTACCAAAAATGAATGCTGATACGATAACAGGATTAACTATAGAGTGCTAAACAGACGAGGTATCAGAAGATTTTCAAGAATGTTTTCGTTTGCAGGAAAATCGTCTAAGAAAGAATTTCTCTAAAATTTCGCTAGCTCGAAATTGTTGGAACTTTTTTTTTCACAGTGACAATAGATGAGTGTTCTTGCGATTTTTCAAAACAGTCGGTTTATCACGTGCTTATCAGGACTTTAATTGCATAAGGTCCTCGTTGGTTAAAGTGCAAATGGAATATTTTAGCCAATGCTCCGGAAGACCGGAAGAATCAGGCATTGCGGTTATCATAGAGTTTTTCGTCTACGACACTTTAGAGCCGTGATTTCAAAAGAAACTTAATTGTGCTTTGTGAAATACAACGAAAAGGATGCTGATAACTCTGGATGTCAAGTAGGCTGCGGACTCGCGGTTATTCTTACCGGAGGCTTATACGCTATCCGCGCACTTATTCCACCCCATTCCCGTTGGTTGGTGATTGCTGATAGCACCGACAGAGTGAAAAACCGGCTGAAAGAAAGTGAAAGGAAGTGCTTCGGCAGATGCAGTTGAATAGTACATGAGCCCCTAGTAAAGGTAATGCCGAGTTCGAAGCCCAACTGAGGTTCTGAGTTCCGCTCATACCTTACAACCCTTGTAGTTGTATTTCACATCGTACTTTGTCACGAAAAAGTAGGCAGTAAATAAAAATAAGTACACATAGTCCTTTCTTCAGATTCCACTGACTAAATTTGCTTAAGTTTTAAAAGAAGCGAGATACGGCACTTACGCGAAACAGAAATCTAATGTTGATCCGAATTATTTACAATTTTAGGCGATTTTCAAGAGTATTTGGATTCACTTAATGTTGTAAATATGCTTCTCCTGAATGTCCTAGAACGCCTAGGTTGTCATCGCCGCGCGTAGAGCTCTCAGCGTATTTGGAGAGAAGACTGACGGTTGGACGGATGGGCAAGGCGTCGTCTGTTGATGTATGACAGACAGCCTGTAGGAAACGATAGAAATCACAGAGCGGCACATTTGATCAAGATGGATGAACAGTGACAGCGCGCCAGAAGACTCGACAAGAAGAACGAGGGAGAGGGCACAGACGTCGCTCGGTCATCACCTTGCGTACACATTTGCAGACGGACTGCTCGTTTACGGTCAGCACAGAACATCGCCAGAGCGGTAGTGAGCGTTACCAGAATGGTCTCGAACGCACTGTCGGTCGGTAAATCACGGACTGCGTTCGTCTCCAAACGGGAAACGCCGAAAACCGAGGTGAAACTGCGATAAAAAAGTTCTATAACATAACAATAATAACGGTGGTGTTACAAAAAAAAAATGATCGATGGTTACAGCATTGGTTAGTTCTTCGGAGATACGTCACTTTAATCGTGTTCCACTTGTGAATCCGCTAAGATAATTAATGAGTGTGGATTTCGTCTGCACTATGACTAACGGGAACCAGCTGATGAGCAATTAGCAGACGAGTCTGATACGATTTAACTAAGTCGATTAGGCGGACTGCATGGGTAGCTAGGAGTGAAGATCGAACTAACGACAGCGAACGCAATTATGCTACATTACATCCTCCTGAGCCAGCTGTGCTACCAAGTATCATTACCATCGCTCTGCTCTACCGTAGAATATGTGTACAATTTCATTAGCGTACATTTCGCATTCGTTCTATGGAATGATATGGGAAAAAACTGCAACCTAACTAGAAAAGAAGAAGAAAATGTGGTTTCCAGCTGGTGATGGACATATTTACATTACTACTGCTGTTGCCTATTACTATTATTACTGTTACTAATAGTCTAAGCTCACTGTAGCAAAGTTTTATGGTTTTTTGCAGCCAGTGTAGTCTTTCCATTTATTGTTATTCTATACAGCAATCTTCCCAACGGTTTACTGCCTTTTCGTGGCGTTCCTGGGTGTCGGGTTGCGATATATGGCAAAAGGATTCATCGCCCAGCAAGGTCTCCAGGTTGCGAAGGAGTCCTCTGTTTCCATCAGGAAGCGAGGCTAAAAGTAAAAAAAGTAAACCAATGCCAGGATCCACCACTCTCCTACTGTTAAAGTCGTCACATGGTGGCAAATCTCCCTTTGATTCACAAGGGCGGCGACTGCCAGTGGTGGTGGTGGCAACATGGGGCAGACTTTGGCTAAGCTGAACTCGAAACACCAGGGAATCACAATGGCTAATCCAGCAAAATTTCGAGAAGATGGAAATTATGCTGGGGCCTCACATAACCAGTGAAAAGGGGCTACCGGAGTAAGTAAGTATACAGCAATTCGGAACGAAAACGTTTTACTACAGTCCCTATATTCCTTCTTATGAAAACAGGAAAAGTGAACTCAAAAAATTCTTTCCACGATTTTAAAGCAAAATTAAGAGCTGCGGAAGCATTCATCAGCACAAAATTTGTGACGGATCTAAGAATTGTGAACGATCATACGGTAAAACGTTGATTTCAAAGGTTTCGTATTGGAAGTGAGGGTGTGGGACGCATACGGAACAACCATACGTCACAGATAACGACGATTTGATGGCAATAATTGAATTCATCCCAGACAGTTAACAGATTATGGGAAGATTACGAGTAAGAAAACAGAAGTATAGAGGAACGACAATCGAACTGCTACCTGAAATAAGAAAATAAGTGGCAACGCATGAATTGAACGAAAAATGGGGATTTTCGCTATGAAATCTTTGGATCTACTCCAATTTCAGAAATTAGAAAGGATTCATTTCTCGATCGTTAGGGAAAATCATAGGCTCAGCTTGACAACTGAATTCGCTTGGAGCAGTTGTTCAATTAGAATGATGTGGCAGAAAATCTACTAGAGCCAAATTTGCACAAAATTTGGGTCACCATAACCCTTTTGTTCTCAGCAGATAAAATCGCCTGCCATAAGTTTTCGGCTCTTTGAAAAAACCGCTGTAGATGGTAAGCATTTTCAGAGTCAACAAAAAATAGCTGTATAAAAACTCGAACATATACGACTGGTATCTGTCGATTCATCGTCGATTCTGATGTTGACGAGGACATGCGCTTCATGTTTCACACATGGCAGTTCAGAAACTGAACTGCTTGAAACACAGGACTTTGTCCCAATTACCTTATCACATCTAATCGCCTATCATTGGATTATCACTTTTCAAACAGTTGAGCGAGTTCCTTCACTGGCCAGTCGCCAATCAAGAGGCTGGCAAAAACTTCTGTGACGCGTTTATTAGAATTCAAACCTTTCTATGGATGGAGGAGTGTCTACTAAGCTTGTAAGAGAAGACTTTATTGATCAAAATGGTTCATAATTCTGAAAAGCGGTTGGTCTTTGTAAATTAAAATCCCATTGTTTAGGCCATCATTTCAAAATCGGCCATTTCACATTAAATGACAAATATTTTATATGATATTTCTTAGCGGTTGCAACAGAGGTTTCTTCGAAGCTAATGATTGATGGGCACTAGATATCATATACATTAAGAAAACAGTATATAATCAATATAAAACATCTGGAACAAACAGTTTCATCAAATGTACCCACTTATCCCTCACTTCCACAGCGGGGTAATAGGTAGCTGCAATTTTTCCCACGGCGTGCCTTTAGCTTTTCTGTCATGACCAGTCAATAGTTTTAGTGCTTCATTTCATGTGAAATGGTGCTGTATTAAGATCTGCTGAGGGAATGGGACCACAGAGAATTTTCACAGTAGCAAGGATTGACAAGTAAACACTGTTGGAATTCGACGCTTTCCAAAGCTGTCGAGGTGTTTTCACATCGCATGCCCTCCGTAATCAAGCGCACTTTTTTTTCTTGCCCTTAGACGTGCTGCTCTCTCCAGCCGAACGCAGCAGCACCAGTACACTGTATGTACTTTTGTCGATTGTCGATATGACTATTGTACGCGGCTGCTCCATTGCGCGTTTCTTCCAACTTTCACAAACAGTGCACTAAATCACTCCGGAAAGTACCGTCTTGCTACTAACTCGTCCGACTGGTCGGTCCTCCGTCTCTCGTCCGCGTACACTCGCCTCGTCCTCTCACTGGCCTCCCTCTCCTGAGTCCGGCTGCTCTAGCGGTGATTGTCGATTGACAGATCATAAATTTCTTGATATATGTTTCCGACGCGGTCCATCATTCTCCGGCGGCGGATTGTCGGTGCTTCGGCGACCACGCCCCGTGGCGGCGCCGATTGGTCGACGGCCCTCGGTCACGCCTGCCGGCCGCCTTTGATGTGCCGACGCCGTGTGCCCGCCCACGACGGACCCGTCACTCGCACGCATTCTTCTACGCTGCTGACATGGTATCCACACACTCTCAATACATCACCGACTTCACACCTACATCTACATCGAGTGTTAGTCGTTTTTTCCCTCATTATGTTGCCGGTTTTGTAAATGGTTGAACTTGAGCCGAAGGGCATATACCTTTATAAAATTGCTATATGTAAAAACGCCCGAGCCATCTTTATCCCGTGTAAAATTCGGAGTTAAATCTGACTCAAACGTCTTTTTTGATGCTGTATGAGTTTGATGTAGAGAGTTCTATCGGCTGGCATATCTTTCCAAACCATGCGCCGTGTTTGTTTTTTCTTTTCTCTCCAAAGTGTTCGGGGTTTATGTGTTCGTAGTGCCAGCAGAACCAATTTGTCACGATTTTGTTTTATGATCTGTAAGTGGGAAGATGCTTTTTAGAAGAAAGCACTTTTTAAAGTTGTTCACAGCGTTCTGTGACGGTGACAGTGGTTATTCTAAACTTTCACATAGGAAGTTTTTAATTTCTACATTAATGAAGTTTTACTTACGCTTTCAGTTCATCTTCGACGACTGCAACATATGAAGGTTACCTTCTTTCAGGTAGAAGCCGGAAAAAGCCCACTCGCCATGTTAGCGAAGACTTGTGAGACCATCGGTTTACCAGACACACCATCGAAGAAGAGCATTTCGGAAAAGAAAGACGACGGCACCAAAAAGGATGCTGAAAGCCCTACTGAGCGACGAAAGGAGCGATCACCACGTACAACACCGGCCACGAATGGCTTACGTGGAGAGGCCACATCAAGCTCAAGTACATTTTCGGGGCTTTCGAAGCCTCCTCAGACAACGTTCCCGCCGCTCGGATTCTCACCTACGCTTCCATTTCCGTTTCCGTACGCGATGATGCCCTATGCGATACCATTTCCGTCGTTTGCTATGCCGTTCACGATGGCTCGACCACCGTGTCCGGCGATGCTGTTGCAAAGACCGTGCGTCACTCCCGGATGCACGTCCTGCTCTCCTGACATGTTGAGTTCATTCGCCACTCATCCGCTGTTTTCCACCTACTCTTCTATGCCATCGGTTTCGAGGTAAACTCTTATCCATGTTTTTGTGCTTCCTTTTAGATGATATTAAATTACTGTTGGTGCAATATAATTCTCGAATTATAGAGACGAATGTTTAATGAACAACCACGCTAGAACCAATCAGTCTTCACTATCGTTACATACAATTTCGCCATATATCTCAACTATAAATTTGTAAACAATTGACATGTTCCTAACCGAATACATTCCTTCTTCAACAAACAGTCAATCAAATACTAGTTGTTAATTCAAGAGCAGCAGGGGGCTAAATTGACCTGAAATGAGAGAAAACAAGGGTTACGAAAGCTGGTATCGTAATTTTTCGACGATTGCGAAGAAAATTTTCTCCAACTGTAGATGTTTTCTCACTTTACTTTTCTAGTATTTGTACATTTGTACTCAATGCCCTTCTTTCAGTTCACCAATATTGCCTGGATCTTATCAGAACTTTCTGATTTCGCCAACAACAGTTCCATCAACTTCAAGCAGTACGACGCCTTCATCATCTACTGGAATGTCGTCTAAATCAACTATTTCTCAACAGAAGCACATATGTTCATGGGTGGAATCGACAGGAATCTGTGGAAAGCAGTTCGTGTCTGCTGACGACCTTGCACTGCATGTGAAACAATTCCATACACCGTCTCCACCATCCAGTGCTTCGTCTGCAACCGCTGATGTCTCGAAAACTCCACAAACTCGACCGAATTTACCTCGTTATCATCCGTACTCTAAACCTAGCCAGCTTCCTATTTCACCAATGATGTCTTTTCCGTCTGCATTACAAGCAATGTATGCTCAACGTTTAATGACAGGCATGCCTCATCCTTAGGTTGATTGCTGCTCAGCTTTGTGCCGAAAAATTGACCTGTTGCGTTTGTCATCTAGTCGCATAGCGCTTCGGTCTACGATGAGATCTGTAAATCACTCACTCATCAGTTCTTTTCGGTATTCACCATCGTTTTGCAGTGTTCTATACGGGTCGAATTTCACAGGTGCTCACAGTGCTCTCCCTCTCCCTCTCTCTCTCGCTCTCTCTCTCTCTCTGTTTTCCTTTCTTTCCTTCATCCTTTCTTTCTCCCTCCTTCTCCTCCACCTAGTGCTTATTCTTTATTTTCTAAGGTGTTTTAAGCGGTATTACGAGTTAAACATAATTGTTATATGTTACATATACATATATAGAGATGCTATAAAATTTAGTAGTGTTTGCTGTAATGTAAGCAAAACGTGGTCGGCGATGATAAACGGGAATTCTCATCGCTGAAAGATTAAGTGATCGTGATGGGGGTGGTATCAATATGTTCATTTGAAAGTGATACTTCTGGGCAGAGATTGGTCCACCGGTCCTTACCAACAGCTGGTTGTTTGCCCTTTAAACGAATGTTTGAGGACACATCTCTGAACGCAAAAAACACCTTAAGAGAAGGAGAACGTCGTGGAATATAAGGAAGTTCAATGCCGAACTACCTTCTACTACAGGTGTTCTCCAACTATGTTTTGGCCTATCAACGCAGTCATGGAGATGAACGCCAGAATTATTTACTGAATAAATTAGAACAAATTAAGTATGAATATTTTCGCCCCAGTTCTATTTGGGACCCAATGGCTTCTTTAAATTCATCGAAGAATAGAGGAGAGAACGAAAGTGTTGGTAAAAAAAATGTTGATGAACAACCGAGCAGTGATTGAAATATGTATGTGTTGTGATTCGAGAAGATTGTCCGTCAGAATTTGTGCTCTCCTCCAACGAGGTTTTTGCTAGAATGCTCGTTACGAATAACCGGCCGAAGCGTATGATTGACGATCAACCCGCACATTTAAACCACTACATCAAGCAACCCCTCATCCTCATCCCGTCTTCTAGCTCATTCTTTCAGCACGCCTCACAGTACGCACAACCGAAGACACCTCATAGACGATTGACAATGCGACTCGAGGCGGCTTTGGTGTCGAATGAAACAAAAGAACATCTTAAGATTGCGATGATGATCTGCTTTTTTTGCTGGAACGATCGGTTTCAAAAACAAATCATGAGCCGTATCTTCTTGTCTTCATCTTGTTTTTGAAATCTTCTTGCAATTGGAATTCTGTATGTTACGTCGTTCTCAACCGGACGGTTGACTTTAACTTCTTGTGGAAATTATCGTCGTCCTAGAAGAATTCTAGTAGCAAGACAGCCCACTTCTCCCTGAATCACAGCATTCTGCGATTTCCAGTGGTGCCGTCATGAGAACACCGTAAGACGACTGCATTCCAGGAAAATTGCTCTAAATAGGAGAACATCATATGACCTATATTACCCATAGGAGTCGCAGCCATACTTATATGGGATTCCGACCAACACAAAGCAACGATTGTTACCAAACAAGGAAAAAAACCAAATATAGCCAGACGTTGGAAGAGGTAAATGAAAATGGCTCATCAAAATGCCTCAGTATACGCGTCTAAAGCAAAGAGACTAAGCCTGGTGAAAGTAGTTGGTAAAGTCAAGCGATGATTAATGGGTTAAGGGCGATGCTGGCGACAAGTGAGTATCCATTTAATAAACGGTTTGAGATAAAAGCGATAAGAAACGTCATCTTCCATGTACTCATATGAGTACCGTCAGTCAACAATTCACTTCCAGACTTATAGAGAAGATTTGTAAGAACGTTTTCAGACTAGGCACGAGTCGCGGACGAATTCTCGCCGGTTTGTGCAAGAGCAACAGGTTCGTTGAATTTGGAGCACTAAAGAGATTCGCGAAAAACCATTTCATTGTAAATATCTACAATAAGGGCCATGTGACCACCGAGGCGAAGCCGCTCACAAGAACACTTTGCCAGAACTCTCATCGGCCGCCTGGTCGCTAATGACTCGGCTTATCGCATTAATCGCCTCCTCGACTCTCAACTAATTACAATCGTTGTGTGAAATCATCGACAGCAATTCTACATAATGCATATTATCTGGCCTAGTGTCACCACAATTTCAAGGTGTGTGCGGTCACGCTAGTAAGCGATGACATGAAGAAATCCCTCATTACTCGTTAGTTACAACAGAATTACTCTTTACTCTTTAGTCACAATTGAGCAATCCCTAGTTGAGATTCCCATTATGAAGACAAGTAAAACGAGAATAAAGCTAGCCGCTTTGACTAATCCCTGAAGGATGCGCCATGCATTCGACTTCATCTTGAGGTGATTAAATGCATATGTGTGCCATACAATAACTCTCAGTAGCCAACCGATAAATCAAATCAGTGCTGCTATTCTCCCATACAAGTAGGGTGCCATTTTGAGAACCTCGTGGGATAGAAGGCTTGCTATGCCGGGAGTGCAAAATTGAACCAGCTACCCAACCAGTGCAAATTGCAGAGCGCCTTCAACCACTGCCCTACGTCCATCCCCATGAAACTAAAAGCGTTTGCAATTTTTGGGTTTTCATGCCAAATCGAAGAATTTTAAATATTACAATGGAATCGCCTTGGTCGTCACATGGCTGTTACAGAAGTGCATAGTGGCCATGAGACGATTTAAAATGGATTGAAACGGTAATAAATAAGTGGAAGACCTCAATAAGCCGTTAAAGACGGAGTTCTTATTAAGTGCTCGAGCCACCGGAATAGTGGTGAAAAACGGGGAAGGCTTTAGTGTTTATGAATGCGAATGGAAGCAAATGATTGAAGACTGTTAACGTTCAGCAAATAGTCATTAAACATCAAATCGATCTATTTTTTCCACAACCTGAAGTTCGACGTGGGTTACATGGGAACGGGGGCGGAGGAATTCTATTAATACAGAACTAAGGCTTAGTTCTTATCTTTGAACTGCTAGATAAAAACCATAGTGAGATGATTTTGACAGAACTACGGTGAAATAATACATTCTTCAGAAGAAAAAGTCCTATAAATAGCCTATAAATCTAGGGAAAGCAACTGAACCCATCCGTAATAGCGAAATGGATCATATGATTTATAGAACTGATGACGTACTGTTTTACACTTCTGCACCAACCAGGTACCCTACCGCATAAACTGTCCATCTCTAACGCTCAACAACCTAAAGCAACCTTCCTAACTAGCACGAGTTGTCGTGTCATCCGTAACCGTTGATCCGAAGAATACTCAGTGTTTTGACTATAAGTTTGGAAGTTTTTCTTCTTTCACATATGTTCTCGAAAGGCTGCTTCACTAAGTCGCTGCTAAACTCATGCATTACCATCAATTTTGCTTTTCAATGTAGCTCATTACATTTTTCTTCACTTTTTCTCTCTCTCTATCTCCCTTTCTCTGCTTTACAAAAACTCTTCGGCTACTCTCCCATATCTTTCCTACTTGTATCTCGTATATATCAGCAATTTTTCCTCCGTTTTCCAGTTTTTTTCTTAACTTGATTTCTGAATTCTTCATCAGTTTCACTTCACCGATTCTTTAGTTCCGATTTTTTTCAAGTATATTAATTCAGTTACTGAATGAACGTACTGGTAAGGAAGCAAGAGAGTATTGTACAATCGAAGAACTTTTTATTCTTTTAGATTAATCACATAGCGCATCTGCTGGAGACATGATGCTCAGCTACAATCGACCTATCGTCGGGTCTGCCAGTGCGTGTGTTTGTGCGTCTGTCTTGTATGGGTATGTGTATGCATGTATGTATGTGTGTATGTATGTATGTATGTATGTATGCATGTATGTTGTGTATGTATATATGTGTATGTATGTATATATGTGTATATGTTTGTATGAATGTATGTATGTATGTAGGTATGCACGTATATATGTATGTGTGTGTGACGGCACGCCCGTCTTCTGTTGTCAGTTTGCCAGCAATTACTGTAAAGACAGTCGGTCGTGCGGTGATTGACGGCCGAATGGCGGCAGTTCAAACGCATCTTTTATCTGACACATGTAATCCATCACCACCTGTCAATCACCGACTCGACACTCTCCGTCGTCGAATGTGCTATTTCAGCTCATTTTCGTTTGTGTGTCGTGTTTTTATGCGCTCTGTAATCGGTCGTATTGCATGTTCTCAGCAATGATTTGTAGATTGTAATTAATACTTAAAAGCTGAATGGCTGTCCGATCAATCAGACGGCAAAAGAGCGAGGCGAGCGATCGTCGAGTGGCGCTCGGCGCGCTGATGGGATCGGTCAACTTAAACGTGCAACGCTCTAGTGTCTACAAAATCTTCCTAGAGGGTACGGTGGTACGGTCATTTTTCATGAGTGTAAGTGTGCGTTCCGAGTTACACAACATAAAACGGGCTGGTTCTTTTCCTCAGTATGCTTTCAGTGACGCTCATTAGCGTTCTGTTAATCACCATCTAACAACAAGTGTCTCGAAATTCAATCGCTACGAACCATAAGGACAAAAAAAGCGAACACAAACTAGCTTCGTTTTGAGTATTCCTGTGCGACTATGTAGTTGTCGCTTCGTATTAATTCTTGCTTACCTAAACTAAACCGATTGATGACACCCATAAAACTCAATCAAACTCACTAGAGCATTGTTTTTACTGTGACCATGATAGCATTGGGACAATGACGGTGATTCATCCAATAGCGCAAGGTTGAACTTGAAAAATTTGGCTTGTGGATCGAGATTTCCTGGATTCATAGTGTCACTCTCTCGGGGACAAAGATTGGTGTTTTCAGAGTATAAACACAGCACTCCGACGAGGCTGGCTTGCGCTGTGGCCTAGAGACGACGAAGGCTGTTCTGCAAACTTCGAAACCAAGAAAAGCATTTGCATTGGACTTCATCTGAGGTGCAGTGTGATCGGTTTCGATGTCTGCCCCTCAATCATTACATAACGAGCGTCGTTAAATTCGCTGTTATCGCTCTTTGTG